AGGAAAGGTATTTCTCTAATTCAGGATGCTAGTGATATGTGTGTGCCTATATATAAATGAAAATGGTGGTACCCACAATTTAAATGGTGGTACCCACACCTGAAAACAAAAAGACTGATGCACTATGAACATTAATTAATCATCTACCCATCCTCCCATTGAGAATGTTTTGGGATCTGATGGTAACCAAGGTTGCCAAGCCTTTTGGGCTCTCTTGAACTCAGGACACAAACCATTTGAGTATAGAGAATCATCTCTGGGTGTGGTCAGAATATTATTTTGATTACATTTAGAAAGAACACTCAGGAGGTGGAGAGACCTTGCTAGTTGGCCTTCTGGGGCAATACACATCCAATGACTGTAGTTACGAACATCTGCTGAGTGTATTGTGGGAAGAGATGTTTTAATTTCTCATGGAGCAGGGCTGTATAACCTTAACATGTGCTAATTCTAGAAAAAGTTCCCCATTTGGATGTCTAATAATGAGGGAGCAGAGAGACACCAAGACCATGACAATACCATCCACAATCAACCCCTTTCACTTTTGTCCTCTTTGACATATATGTCTAGGAAATGGGATCTTGGATCTGTAAGTAACAACCAAGTGTGGGGACAAAGAATGGGAGCCTAACTGGACATTTCTTTTACTGCCTCACTCCGGCCTGTAGATCTGGAAGATTGAGGTTATTAGTAATAATGATCACAGATATAAAGTGATAACTGACCTGGTAGCCTGGCATGGCTCATAGTACCAGAGAAAATACATGAACAAAAGAAATCACTGAGCTACTTACAGTGAATCATGATTCTGAGAGTGAGAACTGGAAGGACGAAGGACTTACATTACTCCACTTAGGCCAGTATGAAGAGAACAGCAATCCCTGCTGGCAGGGTAGTGAAACCGAGACCCTGGGACACTTGGGGTGAAGGGATCATTTACCTCTTCCACACTCAGCATCTCAGGAATGATGTAGAGGATGGGCAGGAAGATGGCAAGACAGTTTCTATTTTATGTTGAATCCTGAGCCAAGTAACCATTTTACATACTTAAAAAAATAAATGGCCACATATGGTGCTATTATAATCCCAGCTTTCAGAAATTGGTGGGACAACCCAAAATTCAAGGTCAATCTGTACACAAGGAGACCCCATATCAAAACCAACTGAACAAATAAAAAAGCCAGGCATGGGGGTGCATGTCTTTAATCCCAGCACTCAGGGAAGCAGAGGCAGGCAGATCTCTGTGTGTTTGAAGTCAGCCTGGTCTACAAAGTGGGTCCAGGACAGCCAAGGCTACATAGGGAAACCCTGTCTTGAACAAACAAACAAACAAACAAAACAAACGAACACTCCTCCCCCCGATCAAACAAAACCATTTTTTTAGTTTTGTGCATATATTTTTAATTAAAATTATCTGATGGTTTCACACACACACACACACACACACACACACACACACACACCCCACATACTGACCATTCTCACTGTCATCCCATGACCCTACCCTTTAACTTTCCTTATACCCTTTATATCATGTTTCTTTACTGTGTTTAACCAGGGCTATCACTGTGACTATGGGTTTAGAGATTTGATTTGGAGCCTAGTGGTCTCAGCAATGGGTACAAAAGTAATGATGATTTTTCTCTCTTCCAGAAAATATCAACAGCCAAGATAGTTCGGCAGTAACAAGGTGTTCCTGTGAGCACTTTTCCTTGATAGATAATTTAATGGGTCAGTTCTGTGCAGGCTCAGCACAGGTGACCACAACTGTGAGTCTGTGATTGCAACCATTCTATTGAGTCTGTGGGATGGCTCTCTGTTTTTTTGTCAGGGTTTTCCTACACAGCCCAGGTTGGCCTTGAACTCGGGATTACCCTCCTGCTATAACTTCCTATGCACCACCATGCCTGCCTGGCTAGCAAAGAAATTCAGAATTTAAAAGGAAGAGAAGTTTATACCTAACTTGGAACTCAAAGTTAGAAATTATTATTCTTAGCCATAAAGGTAGTACCCTTACAGTAAGGAATTAGTATATGAAACAATAAAAAAGCCTTTCTTTTAGAAGTTCTATACATAGTAAATACAACTTTATAGTACAAAAATATCTTAAGAATATACACATATAAGAATTGTGCACTGTTATGTTTATTTTCATTTAATATAACATGAAGTTAACAGACATATTTTAAGGTAACAAAATGTTATCATTGATAAGGATATTTTAAAGGGTATTTTAGTATAGCCAGAGATTTAACATCCAAAGTTTACTCATTTTTAAAATGTAAAACACACAATTACAATATTCAGATCTTACAATTTTAAAGTTTTAACCAAAACATTTGCAAGTAAATTCAAGAAGTATCCTATATTAAGACACAAAAAAAATATACTAACAAAGTGCCAATGGATTAGACAATGTCATTTGATCTGTTTTCTTCTGGGGGAGGAGGGTAAAAGTACATGATAATATAGAACTAGTCATATTTTTAAATTGTGGTTTAGACCTAGTAATTTTAAGTATACTTTGTAATAATAGTGAGTGCTTACTGTAGTAGATTAACCATGAAAAAGAATCAGCTTAAGAAAGCACAGCTATAATCTTTAATAGGCTCTTCAATCCTTGCTGAATAGGTTAGTATCCAGTGTTTTTAAAAGTACAATTTCAAACTAAGATGAACCAAATTCCACCAACATCAAAAACGGTTTCCAAGAACTTCATATACATTAAAGAATCTCCCCTGTTACTGTAAAGTAGGTGCAGACCTGTTTGAAGATGTGAGCAGCCATGATGGAAACTTTGGCAATAAGTATATTTTTAGCAGGTAATGGCCTGTGTGCACTGCCTGAGATGTACCGTCCTCACGAAGGAAATGTATTGTCAGATGCTTACAGCTCTTTTCAGGTTCTTGACCTCACTTGGTAGTTACATTGGTGTTTGGGTGTTTAGTTAATAGAAGAATGAAATTACATAGCGACTTCAAACCCTGTTTCCATAGAACATCTGTGCTCAAGCTAAGTCCCAGTGTTCCCTCTACAATCAAATAATAATGTTGTTTATCCAATTCAGAGAACACATTTCATAGATTTAAGTTAATAGATTCAATTCTAAGATTTGTCTACCATAGATTAAAAAAAAACTTTGTTGCCTATTACTCATTGGAATGTTAACAGAAAAAAGGCTTGAGAACTATGAAATATTATACTTAAATATTAGAAGATGTGATATTGTTCTTATCAGCATAATATACAGTTTATGGAAATATGCCTTAATAGATCCATATTTTCTCATAGCAAGTGTGAATTCAGTATGTAAACATTTTAAGACAACCAAAAGAGTTAGGAATTTCCTGTCTGTTCTTGAATGTGTCTGAGAACTGCTGTATTAATGTCTGGCTCCAAAACTCTCTTTGGGGTCTGTGCCAAAAGCATGCTGTCAGATACATCACCAAGAACAGGGTTCTAAGGTAAGACCTCTGGGATTTTACTCTAAAGTAAAAAAATACAGCAAGATTCTAGTATAGCTGCTACTAATGTTCCCATTTTTAAAAAATATGTACCATATAGCTTAAATATGTTATACTAAGAATTTTTATTTGTGTGTATTACAGTATTATGACTTGGGAAAAACTTGCCATAATGACACTTCAGCTCCTAGCACAAACAGCCCTGAGAACAGTGCATTTGAATTCCAGCTCAACTACAAACAATCTAATTGAGAAGCCTTAAAAGTACAAAAACAAGTTCTGTAAAACTTAAAAATTAAAAAAAACAAACCAAACCAAACCCAAAACCAAAAAACCAAACCAACCAAACAAACCAACATTTGAGGCACTACCAGACTACAGTACTTTTAAGTACTGTACTTCTAAGTACTGACTTTGAAGGACTTTGAGAAAAAAAACAAAGCTATGTGTATTTATATACACATTCATACTGTGTGGTAATGAAAAGCATGTGTCCCCAAATTTTCTAAACATCGTATTGCAGCACATTCTCCTAAAGATATCACACCAGCTGCGAGAGTTCTGGTCACTAACCAAAAGCACTGGTACAGAAATCTGTTCTAGGAAGGGGAACAGTCAGGAGCTTGGTTGGTTTACCACTTCAAGTGACTGCAGCCTCCCAGGGGCATCAAGAATGCAGAGGCCGAGTCAGCGCTGCAAGGGTCTGACCTAGGTCGGAGGGCACACAACTGGACCAATGTAGCAAAATCTTCACAGTAGAAATTAAGCCTGTTATGCTAGAACAAAAAATTCAGCCTGTAATACTGTATACGTGGCAAAGGGGGAAAGAAACGTGTACAGACACAAATCTGTGGTTACATCCGGATCTGCTACGAAAAGTACAACAAATACGAGGAGTCGACTGTTAACAGTTCTGCAATGTCAAGAAATGATTTCTGATTTATGTTAAAAATATATGTTCCCTGCTTCCCTTTAATATCATTTATAAAGCTTTACTAAATGAAATATGTTGCTTTAAGAGAAACATCTATTGACTTATGTGAAAATAAAGAGTCCTGTATCTTTAAAATCTAGTTACATGTTGGAGTATGTACACTTATATAGTATTTAAAATGAAATATTTAGGCATAAGTAGCTTTTGCCATTCAAGGTATGGAACAGAGGTGCATTGCTCTTGTCTACACGCTTACACTACAATGAAAAACAGATTCATATGAAGTTTGGTAAGTTAGGAAGAATAAGAGCATGCTACTCTTGAAGAAATATGAAATCAAAACACAGTTGTGGCTACTAAATGGCAAGATAATGACCAGAAAACAGCAGAGAGAAATAACTTTCGGGAATTCCCATCGGTAACATGGCAATCAGTACCACCAAGATACGCATCCACACAGCAGAAATCTAACGCAGCATGGAGCAGATACCTGGAAGAATTTAGCCTAATTCCTAATTGTGCTTCGCACAGGCAAAAGCTAAAAGATCACACTAAAGTCAGCTGGCTACAACTTGAGTATTCTTGTGCTTCAGAAGTCTCTTCCTGGCACTTCTCTTACAGTGTCTTGCTTCTTTTCTGGATTGGTTTGTGGAGGACAAGACAAGATTTAAAACTGCGTATAAATTAAGCAATTAAAATCTTGGGACCTTGCATTTATAATCTATTTCAAGTTGCTGATTAGACTGGCTGCATTGTCGTACATTTCTTTAAGATGGGAACAAAGGAACTTGAGGGTCTAGGCATGACAGAAGAGACCTGAGAGAATCAAGGTGTTACTGAGAGGGATTTTGTTCTAAGCTGCACTCCAGTCCGGTGACTTATGATTTTGTCAGTTCCTCACGAACCCACAACTATGTCTATGATTTTGGGTACAATCTACACACAATCCAAAAGTCTAAACATAAGTGGAGGAGCATCACCTACAACACAGTAAAATAATCCAGCTCACAGAATCCCCTCCTAGTTATATTTCACATCAGTAACAGTAAGTCACAAGAGAATAAAACAGTACATACACACTGAAAATAAGGTAATATTTCTTCTATGGTTTACTTCTATTCCATGTCAGAAAAGTGTACATACATTTAACAAATCAATTTAAAGCCAAGAATTCCAAAGCAACTTAAAAATTCCCAATAAAAGACTAATATAAAAAAATTACTTAAAAATTGCTGGAAGGGCTAGATTACCAACATGACCATTTGGGTGTTATGGCTGGGAGCAGTGCAGAGCCCCGGCAAAGGTCACTCCTCCTGTGTTGGAGCAGAGGTCAGGGACATAGCCCAAAGCAAAAAATATAACCGGAGCTCCCTCTACTTTGCATGCTGATACAAAGGTCTTAAATAAAGCCTACAGTTTTAACTCCTGCTTTGCCACTGCCCTTGTGTCTTCTTTGCTACTTGTTTGACTTGCTCAGACTTATTCAGTTCCCTCTGTGAATCACAACAGGTACCAAAACCATGTAGCTCTGCCACCAGTTGGGCAAAGAAAAACACGATGAAGGAAATACATGGGACACCTGATCACCAAGATAATACACTTTCTGATAACAGGAGTTTAGTTTCAGGACCTGTGTTGGCCACAAAGAGCATGGAGCTTTGATGATTCCATTTTATAATCTATGAATTCTAGATATTAATTCTGAAAGCAGCACAGAGCAATTCAATTAAAATGCATGATACTTCCATTCCACTAGATGCTACATTGTTGATTTAAAACCCTGGTTTGTTAACCACTTAAGTTCAGGAGTGATTTGCTCAGACAAGTGACATCTACTAAAGCTGTTGTATCTGTTTCTTATGGTCACACAGTGAAAACCACAGGAAAGTTATAGGAAAAGATACTTATAAAATTATACATCTTGATATGTTCTTTTAAATTACTAACTGCCTGCAAAACTAAGCCAGCACGATTTTAAAAGAAAAACATAACAAAAATAAAACATGAGGTTGCTTATGAAGGCCATAGCTTTGGGACAACTAGATCCAGATCTAATGGACTTGCTTGTGCTGATGGTCCTATTTGCAGGGCTTTATGGCTACAGCATATTCTTCACTCATAGCACACATGACAGACACCTAGAAGGAGAAGGGGCAAGCAAAGAGTTACTTAGGAGGTAATACACAGAAAAGATGCCTTTTGTTTACTTGTGGGTCTTTTTATGTTGAATTGGGAAAGGGTTAATCTACAGTAATTAGCCCATCTTCTGGATAGATTTTTTTGGAGCAGAATTCCTTAGATGGTAATTCAGGACAACTTCCAAGTAAACTGGAAACACTCTATCAACATTTAATCCATGTTATACTTTTGAGAGTTATAACAAAGAATCCATCTTCTCTCCTCCTTCCCTCCTTCCTGTTTCTTAAAATCATAGGTAGATCTCCAAAATAAGCATGGAGTTCCATGTCAATCCAGAAGAAAGAAGGAAAACAAACAAATGAAACCAAACACCCTCCAAACTTGAGGCTCTTTCTTTGGTCAGATGTCTTTAAGGGTGCCAAGAAAAATTGCCTCATGGAGATAATTTCAATATTTTAGCAGTATTTTAAGGTTATATTTCACAGGTTTTTAATTTCTTTTATATATTATTGTTGTGTGTATGTGTGTGAACAGAGGAAAAATACTTTTACTGGAGGTGAAAATGCACAAATAACAGCAAGGTGCAGAGAGACAGACCAGTGGGGTTCAGGAAGCTGAAGTCTGCTCATACAGACTTTTATGCTAACTTGTTCAGGGCCAAAGTTTTATAAAATGCTTTTGAGACATAGTTGGTCTTACCTGCACGTCTTCACCTGCATTGTATTTTCCTTCTATTTCTTTGCCCAGTTCACCTTCTGGCAGCTTAAGGTCCTCACGGACTTCACCGGTTTCTGTCAGCAGGGAGAGGTACCCATCCTGAATGCATATGAGCTATTAAAGAGATCACAGGGGCACACTGATTAGAGCACAGCCACTCTGTTGTGAGGTTTACATAGCGCATCCGCAACACACACTAGTTTAAGAACCCACCAATACATTAACAGATTTGTTAAGAACAGCTGTAGGGGCATGTTGGTCTGACCGCCCTGGCATCAGTGTGCATGGTATGTTTCTCATTTCTTGGGCTCTGGTAGTCCCTGGGTTGCTGTGTGGTAACAGGTCTGTTCTTTCAGGCATCTGTTGGTCCTACGAGGCTATCCACATTTGCTTTTTATTAAGCCAACATTAGTGCCATTGCTTACAACCAGGAACTTTGATGAATGTACTTCAGTCTGGCTGCTTCAAATGGACTCCACTTGTGTTTATCAACTATTCTGTAAAGAATGTACGTGAAATACTCACTAGCATTAGTTACTTCTGATTATGAAATCAATTCTAAAACCAAAATAAATAAATAAATAAAATGCAAACATGACTCATGCCTTTAGTCCTAGCACTTGGGAGGCAGAGGCTAGCCTGGTCTTCATTGCAAACTCCAGGCTAGCCAGAACTAAATAAAAAAAAAGAAAAAAAAAAGAAAAAAAAAAACAAAAAAAGGAAAATGCAGGCATATGTAATGTAATAAACCTAGAACACACATGTAATTCACTCTCTAAACTATCACTTATCACTTATCACTCTCTGCGTTGCCAAGGCATTTCTATTCACAGACACAATACAGAGGCATTCTTTTTCTTAAAATTTTTAATTTAATTTTTCTTTTTTATATTAATTATGGTTTATTCACTCTGTATCCCAGCTGTAGCTCCCTCCCTCATTCCCCCCCAATCCCACCCTCCTTCCCTCATCTCCTCCTGAGGTAGCCATTGGACCTGAGAGGGTTACATGCATGCAAGTCATGCTGGCTCGCTATTCCTGTTGGTTTCAGCGGACACCTCCTGTTTTGCTTGGTTAAACCTCCTGTTTTGCCTATTAAGCCCCCTGTTTTGCTTGGTTAAGTTTCCCGTTTTTCTTGGATATGTTTACTTGGTAACCTATATAAGTGGTTTACTCTGTAATAAAGATGGCGCCTTGATCAGAGCACTGTCTTGGCATCACTTCTTCGTGTTCTCTGTCTCTTTTAATTCCAAGACCCTTGTGCAGGTGGTTACTATTGGTGGTCACAGGCGGGCGACTACATTCTTCCATGCCCCTCCCCTAGTCCACTGATAGGGGAGGTCCTCCTCCCCTTTCATCTGACCCTAGCTTATCAGGTCTCATCACAACTGGCTGCATTGTCTTCCTCTGTGGCCTGGTAAGGACACTCCCCCCTTAGGGGGAGGTGATCAAAGAGCCAGCCACTGAGTCCATGTCAGAGACAGTCCCTATTCCCATACTATGGAACCCACTTGGACACTGAGCTGCCATGGGCTATATCTGTGCAGGGGTTCTAGGTTATGTATGGTCCTTGGTTGAAGTATCAGTCTCAGAAAAGACCCCTGTGCCCAGATATTTTGGTTCTGTTGCTCTCCTTATGGAGCTCCTGTCCCGTCCAGGTCTTTCATCTCCCCCTTCTTTCATAAGATTCCCTGCACTCTGCCCAAAGTTTGCTTATGAGCCTCAGCATCTACTTTGATACACTGCTGGGTACGATCTTTCAGAGGCCACAGAGGCATTCTTAAGGAAAATGGGGTATTACAGTAAGTTTTTATTTATTTATCTATCTGTTTGGTTTTTCAAAACAGGGTTTCTCTGTGTAGCCTTGGCTGTCCTGTACTCGCTTTATAGACCGGGTTGGCCTTCAACTCACAGAGATCCTCCTGCCTCTGCCTCCCTGAGTACTCAGATTTCAGGCCACTGTGCTTAGCTTTAGTAAGTTTTTAAGTGAATATGCTTTAGAAACTTTCCAAATCAGAAAAAGGAGAGCTATTTTCCTCTTCCTACCACAGATATATGAATATGCTGTAAGTGCAGTGATATAAAAGTTATTTTTAGTTTTTCACTATTAAAATAATGCACCTTATAATTTGGTTAGAAGCAAAGTTAAGTGGAAATTTTTGGTCTTTAGGACACTGCTAATAGATTTTTTTCAAAACATTCTCACATATAAACAGCATATATACATTATAATATAATATGGTATGATATGATATAATATATAATATACTTTTATCTTATTTACCATGTTACCATCTCCTGACTCCTCCAATGAAGCTGATCTCAGTTAGTCCCTCTTCTATTTTCTTGCCTTCTTTATTTCCTGTTGACTGGTAAGTTCATTAGAGTTGCTTACAGAATCATGGGTGAGAGGTTATTTACAGGAACCTGGACACCTTCTCAGTGGCTACACAACAGAAGAAAATGTCTCTCCTTCAACTCATGCCCACTGACTGTCTATATACCCTCAGGGAGGAGTGGTAGTGATATAGACTTTTAACATTACCTCATCTTATAATATTAATGAAACAAACCCGGACATGATCTAACCTGTTAAAAAACAAGCATACTTTTTGATATGCTTTTGAAAATTAATTTTTCTAATTGTGTGTAGCTGTGTGGGCACCCGTGTCTGTATCCATGCAGGTCACAGAGCTCAGAGGCGCCAGTGAGCGCCTGCTCTTCACCGCTGAGCTGTGTCTCCAGCCCCTTGATACACACACTCCTTTATTACAGGAATGAGGAAAGCAGCAAGTCCCACCATCAGTGTGCCTACACTTCCAAGAGACTCTGCAGAAGCCATTCATTCAGACCATCACACAGAAAAGGAGCGAGACACACAGGTCCTGACATCGCTAACCAGGGCGCATGAGCCAGCATAACACACAGGGGAAGTTCCAAAGTGCTCCATCCCACAGCCCCACTCAGCAGGTCTGCTGGCCAGCTGCACAGACCCCACTCCACAGGAATCAAGTCTTTGCACATGTTGAATACCTAAGACTCCACACAGTGAATACCAAGTACTGAAATCTTTGAGAGGTAGCTGGGAAAATAGTGAACACAGAGCCCCAGGCGCACGTCCAGGGTTTAAATACCTGAGGATAGATGCTTAAATGAGGCAGAGTTTGCTGCCCTTGTTAGCGGCTCCCAAGGTGGAATGTGATACTCAGGATGAACGCTTCCTAGAGCCACCATGACTGAAACACAGATCCTAACACTGGGGTCCCGATAATTATTTAGAGTGCTATTTTTTTCTAAGAGTCGGAATTCATTCATTGAACTGAGGTAAAATATTTTAAGAGAAAAAAAGTGTAATATAAGCATCTCATGAAGACAAATATGTATGAACATTATGAAAATTATTTAGAAAGTATAAATCTTTTACCTAGATTCACCTTGTTCACATTTAACCATTTGTGTGTATCCCTTTATATGTGTGTATATACACACATAAAACACATTGCTATACATTCTTGGTTTTGCTGAATCATTTGAGACTCAGCTTCACAGATCACGATTTTTCAGATATACATTCTTCAGTGTTTACCCCTAGAACAAGGACACCCTTTTATGTAACTTTTTCAAGCTAATCTATTATCTGCTTTCAAATGTAACAGCTGTTGACCCTGCTTCCGGATAACACCCGGCAGCTCACACACCCTGCGGCTACTGCCGCCAGGAGGGTTTTGTTTCTTTTAGTGGGGTGCAGTCCTATTAACCGTCTTTCAAGGCGATGGTACTTTACGGAATGTCAGTCAGGTCTACCATGTAATTCATGTAATGTGTTTTTGGAAGAAATAGTATCTAATGATGTGTTCTTGGAGTACCAATCTCATCAAGAGGCAAATGTATCCCATTAATGGTGGCACTAACGTCGACCACCTGGATACTATATTTGTAAGATCTTTATAGTCTAAATATAACTCTCTTCAAGAAGAAGGAAGGAAGAAACCAGTGGGGTTACTATTAAATCTCACGTATATTTTGTGTAAAATGCCATCTTTCCTCAAAGCCTTTGGGATTAGAACAGTTACAATACATGCAATGGGTGTGCCCAACTCTTGACCAGAATGGTACTAGAATGTCTTTTATTCATTAAAATAATTGAGAGCTACAGGTGCTTTCACATGCAGAGTGGGAATCTGGAACAAGCCGTTTACTAGAGGACGAGGAACTATCAAGACCAGGAAGTAGGCACATTCCAAAGGGACTCAGGACTTAGTGTGACTAAGCTCCCTTTGGCCAGTAAAAAAACCCAAAAAACAAAAAACAAAATAAAAAACAACAACAACCTGAAAATCGATATGGATGACACAAGGAAATGTACTGAAACTCAAGTGTGTTGTTGCCTGAGTTCATATTAAAATATCAGTTTGTTGGTCAGCTTCAGTGGTGACTGGGAACAGGTCACTGCGAATCTGATACTGGAGAGGGTGAGATGGCTCGGTGAGTAAAGGCACTTGCTCTCAAGCCTGACAGTTTGAGTTCAGTGTCTAGGATTTGCATAGTTGAAGGAGAACCAACTCCCTCAAGTTGTCCTGACTTCAACAGTTACATCATGGTGCATGTATGTGGCCCTCTGTGCACACATGTATATACATGCACACACATACACAGAAAAATATTTTTTAAAATATTAAAATCCCTGATAATGAAAGGCAGAGGGAAGTATTTATCCTGGTTTCCTTGTGTATGTATACACATGTGCATGAAAATGTACTCAGGAGATACAGGCCATAGTCCTCAAGGTAAAAACAAAGCAACTGATGAAGAGTTCCCATTGAAGCAGTCTGGCTTTCAAAAAAATAGAGGAATATCTGATTATATTACTTTGTTTCCTTTAAATTAATTAAGTGAGGCAATGATGATATATGTCTAATAACCTTACAGAAAAAAATACAATTCTGTGGGCAGTGGTGAATGCCCTTGACTTCTTTATCCCAGCACTTGGGAGGCAGAAGCAGGTGGATCTGAGTTCCAGCACAGCCTGGTCTACAAAGTGAGTTCCAGGATAGCCAGGGCTACACAGAGAAACTTTGTTTTTAAAACAAAACAACAACAAAAACAAAACCAAG